TCTGTGGTCTGATGGGCCAAAATTTGAAATTGTTTTTGGAACTCATGGACGGGGCATCCTCTGAGGAGAGGAACCATCCGGCTTGTTATCAGCCCACAGCTCAAAAGCCAGCATCCGTGATGGCATGGGGGTGCATTAGTGCACACAGCATGAGTAACTTGCACATCTCTTGCACCATTAATGCCGAGCAATATATACAAGCTTTGGAGCCACATAGGCTGAGACGAAGATGACATCTTGTGTATTTCAGCAAGACAAATCCAAACCACATTCTGCACGGATTACAACAGCATGGCGCCATAATAAGAGTCTGGGCCTAAACTGGCTTTGCTGCAGTCCAGATCTGCCACTCACTGACAACATTTGGTGCATTATGAAGTGAGAAATATGACAAAGGAGGCCCCAGAGTGTTGAGCAGCTGAAATCCTATATCAAGCAGAAATAGAAAAACGTTTTTCTTTCATAGTATTGTTAAAGAAGAGATAATACAGTGGTAAACATGCTGCTGTCCCAACTTTTTAAATTTAAAATGAGTAGATTTTTTTCAAAAAACAAATCATATTGATGGTTTATCACCAAATAAATCATTAGCATGATGAGCATGTGGGATGAAGGAATAAGGCTGCCCCCAAAATCAATTCTATGACCAACACACCAGTGCCCTCAGATTTAACCTTCACAACAGTTCTTACAGTGTTCTCCAAAATGTGGTCATCACTGTCAGAGGACTCCTCCGAGTTGCTGTCGCCTTCACTGAAAACACAGTATGAACATGTCAGAGAAAAGGACTAGACACAGAGACATGCCAGTCCAAAGCAGGCAGATAGCAGACTGGCTCCTTTACCCAGTGTCATTGTGGCTGTGCTTGGCTCTCTTAGCCAAGTGTTTGCTCTCCAGGTCATTCAGCGCAGACTCCGCCATGATTGCGTCATACACTAGGGAAAGCAGATGGAAAAGACAAATCTGACACTGAAGAGGTCATCTGTGTTTACTTCTGCCTTCTCAGAATAACAGAACCTTTCTTTGGTCTTGACATAAGCTCTTTACCCCTGTGATCAAAAGATAACTGTATTAGCAGTAAAAAATAAATAAATAAATACATCCAAACAGTCATCTTCAGTCTTGTGCCATCTTTCATTAGAATGGACTCCAATGTGAATTTACAGTGTAAAATAATCACCCTAAAACTTCTGTAAGCCAAACTAGTGTACTGTCACACTCTACCTCTGCCTCTTACCTTTCTCTACTTGAATCCTGAAAGCTGTCTTGTTTCTTCTACCATACTCCAATCTGAAAAAAAAAGCATTTTCACCAAAAATAGGGACTTTTAATTTAATACATACCAATACAGACTAATCTGATTATTGAGAGAGGTGTGGATTTTATTTCATTCTTGTTTTGGGGGTTGTGAACTGCTTACAAAAAAGATTATACACTTTTATCCATTTTAGCCAGACCAGGGCCTGTATTTATCAAGCATCTCAGAGTAGGAAATCACTCCTAACTGGCCAAAAATTCTCAGAATGATGCTTTTTTTTGGTCCTAATTTTAGGACCGAATTTTATCAGCATTCCTAACTTGGGAAATCAGCTCCTGAGATGTCCTAACTGGTTAGGAGCTGCCAGGAAATGGCGTTCAGACAGACACAAGCACACAGACTCCATAGGAGGGCAGATGTTTTACTAACACTCCCCAGTGCTAAGCTCATTAAAAGATACTGTACTGCCAAAAACAAAGTAGTTTTGTGACAGATCTGCAATGGGAGGCAACCCCTCCATCAACAAGAATACCATGCTATCTCCACAGAAACCAAGGGAATTATAACATTCCATTATTAGAAACAGGAACGTTGCAGCCTTGCATTAAAAAAACAACTCAATGGTGATGGTTCTTATAGTACCACAGATAATGGACAGATTCATTCACCACACACTGTGGAATCAACAAAAAACAAGCTACATTTATGCAAATGCCTGGTTTCCCTGGAGGTGGAGTGATCATCAGCGGTACACACATTAAAATCAACACACTGAGCACTGACAAGGACACTACTGTGAATCAAAGACAGTCTCACAGCACTAAAGTGGTCTTTGATGAGAACTACGTTATCTTTGATTTAGTGACAAAATGGACTGGATCACCTCAACTTTTAAGTCCTACTCTGAGGTAGGAGTGCCTCAGTCCAAAGGCAACTTTTGGCACAATTCCTGGGAGTGACTGTGAGATGCTTGATAAAAACAGGTCCAGAAAACCGTTCTCATGAACTTGCCTGTACAGTTTCTGAACATCCAGAGCCATGGCTGAAAGATCCACATATTCCCTATTGCTGGACGCCAAATACTGCAAACAGAATTTACCATGAAACAGGGTCAAGTGCAGCACAGTATAAGAGCAACAGCTTATCTATTTTTACTGAACTGTGAGATAACATAAACATCTGTATTTACACCTAGGAAAACCAGGACACACACTTGTACCTGCTCCACTCTGTGTCTAAGCCGAATGTCCAGACTGCCTCCACCTCTGTTCTTCATGGCTGAGCTTCTTCAAGCCTGCAGCAAGACAGACATTCAAACAAGACTCAAATGAGACATGCAAGCACCGCATGCATTCTGCACAGGCGTCAAGAAGCATCTGCCTTCAGACAACTTAAAAACTTGGTAATATAACCTACAATCCATTCTGTTCTATGGCACCAAATACATCTGCACAACAGCTTTATGCTAAGATAAATACAATGCCTTTGCTGTTACAACTAAATTACTCATTTTAACCCTAACATGAAGTAACTGATAAAGACAATAAAAACAACCATTCAGGCAAGTAAAGAGTTGTTTAGCATAACTAATTCACACACACTTTGATAAAAATATTCAAACTTCATGGTAAGGTTACACGTAATAGCGTCAATCGAACCGCAGTGTCCAAAATAAAACGCACAGTTTCCGTATGTGTTGCTGATAAAGCTAACGGTGACACGTTACCAGTAGCCAGGATGTTGAAGCACTCAGGACTCAACCCAAACACACAGTCCCGGTGGTTTTAATCAGTTTTAACATAGCAATAACACAATTCCTCTGTTAAACCTCGGCAACGTGTTTATAAAACACATAAACTTCCCCCGGAAATGAAAATTACTATATCCGTGTAAGGATTTTCAAAATAAATCATTGCAATTCTCTAGAAATATTCAGGAAACGCATCCCAAAACTGGGTTTCTAATTAAGAATTATTTCAACATTTCTCTTCTCGTTGAATAGTATTCCTGACTTTTATGTATGTCTAAAAGAAACTGAAGTAATAGCACCTACACCTGTCATTGTACGGTATAATTTAACTCGGAGATAAGGGGGTTATAAGTCTATGAATTAGGCCTATGTTACACAGCTACAGCTTTGTTCTGAGGTACCTAAAATAGTTTATAATAGGCTACTTGTCATGTTTTTGTACATTTCATGTTACAAAATACTTTGTCTCATTTTATATCATTGGTGTTTTTAATCTCATGTTCACTGAATAAACATGTTTAAACTGTCATACAGTCTCTGAAGGAAACTAAAAGGACGAGGAGTGTCAGAGCTGCTCTCACTTTCACTTCCTCGTCAGGTTGTTTGACAGCTATACTTCCTTATTATAGTTTGACAGAGATTAGCTGTGTGCCGGTCGGTGTGACAGTCATGAAGGACGGTGGCGGGGCAGGAGAACCGACGGAGGTTTCCCGTCAGGAGCTTTATGAGGCTTATGTGAACTGTTACGTTCAGCCGTGCACAGAGGTTCAGCCGTGTCGCGATGCCGAGCTGATGAAGAAAGCCACTCAGTATCTGCTCAGGGAGCCAAGATCCAGAGACGCTTTCACCGTGTTCCCGTTCTACCAGGCTGTGGGCGAGAACTGTGATGCCCTCGGTACTGACTGCAGGACACACCTGTCTGCTTTTATCAAAGCCACCGAGCTGCTGGAAATTATCTGCGTCAATCTGTTTCTTCAGCCCTGGAAGAAGGAAATCAGGACACTTAAGGTATGGCGATCTTTTCTTATTTGTCGTCTTTTTTCCTTTTCTTTCACTTTGTGTGTGTGTGTGTGTCTTTTGCCACTCCCACTTGCCAGGTGACTTTAATGACCTCGTCTGGAATTCAAACAGAATTTGCTGCTCTGGTTTGCATGTTCTCCCTGTGCCTGTGTGGGTTCTCTCCAGCCTCCTCCCACAGTCCAAAGACATGCAGCTTAGGTTGATTGGTGACTCTAAATTGCCCACAGGAGTGTGTGTGGGGGTGTGTGTGAGATAATGGATGGATGTATGGATGGGTATAGATATAGATAATGGATGGATGGATGGATGGGTATAGATATAGATAATGGATGGATGGGTGGGTGGGGATAGATATATGGATGGACTGTAATTAGGGTTTAATGTTTCTTCTGCGAGCAACTAGCTTTGATTTCCAAACAAAACTGCTGCTCAGTTTTCGACATGCTCAGCTGATGTTTCCACTGATTACCACATAGTTGGCTGACTTAATGGATGGATGGATGGGATATAGATGATGGATGGATGGATGGGTATAGATAATGGATGGATGGATGGATGGGTGGATGGGTATAGATATATATAATGGATGGATGGATGGATGGGTATAGATATATATAATGGATGGATGGATGGATGGGTATAGATATAGATGATGGATGGATGGATGGGTATAGATAATGGATGGATGACCGTCTGACCTTTTGATGGTGGCCCCAAGAGGACTTAAAATCATGGCTGGATTTATTAGGGGGGCTCAACTGAACTGCAGAGCCCCTAGTAATCCTCCATTCCTGCCTCTATCTATGCCATAGGTATATTTTTTAACTAGAGATCATTTGATTAAAGATAAATAGAGGGTAAAGTTAAAAATGCACTAAAGTTGCACATTTTTGTTGTTAATCCAGCCTTGCATGGAATTATAGAGACTTGTTTCTCTGGGGAATGTCACCCTACCCTATATAAATAAAATAAACATAAATAAATAAAAAGTGTGGATGTGATCAGTAGATGGCATGGTAATCAACAGTAAATTGTATGAAAGTTGAAAATATCACTACAAATGTCACATTAAAACCCATTTTATTATGTACATCTAGGAATTCATTCTGCCTGGTTCGGTTAAGCTTTTTTATATGGTCTTATTTCATATGTTAGGTTTTTGTTAGTGCTGCACCGACTGGAGGTCACTAAAATTTCATTGTACATGTTATAATGACAGTAAAGGATTATCTTATCTTGTCTTATCTTAATAGTGAAGGTAATTTGCCCTTTTGATTTAGGTATCAGCAGTTTACAAGTCAAAAGATTTTGGGCCTTATAACAGTTTTTATTGTCGTGAACCACACTGCTGACCAAAGAGAAACTCTGGCTTGACCTCGGCTCCACATGAAAAGTGACAGGTCCTCAGAAAAAGAAGAATTAACCTCCGGTGACTGTGATTACCCACATTGCATTTTATTGTTTGGTTCATGTTTTTCAGTTAGTAAACAATTCCTAGATTGATAAACCAAATTTTTGCACAAGGTTATTTTACTTTGAAATTAAATGTTTGTGACAGTTTGAGATGATTTGATGCATTGTTCCACTTCCTGCTTACGCGCAGATTGTGGTAGAAAGAGGAAGCACCTGAAAGCACAGTGTGAATTAAGATAAAGACACAATAACCCCTAATGACACATTTAGAAATGCATTTAGACGTGCTGGAAAACCCCGGTTATTATTTGTAACAGTTGGGATCTGTGTTCAGGGCTTCATCGTGTCATTGCTGTACTGCAGAAACTGCTAGATATGAATGTCTGAATAAAAATAAGCACACATTTTTAATATGTTAGTGGGATGATGAAATGGTTTTGAATTAGGCAAAATTACAGACAGGTTTTATCAGTACTGTATCGAGGTTACTATTGCACAACTGTTATAAAAATAATTGAGTGTGATCATTACTGTATACACATAGTCATACAACATTAGTTAGATTCAGAGAAAGCTATGAAAAGAAAAAAGTTATAACCTGTTATAATAAAATGAAGTATTCATCTGAACCTGCTGAGATTCGGTAGTCCTTGTCACACACACACACACACACACACACACAAAGCCACCCAAATGATGTGGGATGAGGGCAAGGTCAGTTGCTCTCTTTCTCCATATGTTTTTCCATCCAATGCTTTAGGGTAAGCACAATCTACAGCAAGAGTTCTCAGAAGTGACTTCTTTTCATGGTCCCTGGAGGATGAAGCTGGTCACCACCCTGAGCTTTTCTCAGCACCACCATTAGGCCAAAGGTTGTGGTTGTACAAGTAGAGCCTGACTGATGGTGGCTGGCATTATAACTGAAACCTATGATGTGTTGGATACGTCAACTTATAAGGAAAAAGAAATTGCAAAGGAAATGGCAAAGATGAGTTTGAGATCCAAACAGTAAAAGTGTCCCATTTCTATACATTCTATGTACAGTGTTTACTCCTGCCATTGCAGTGACTTTACCATTTTTACTAATAGAAATTGAATCAGGACACCGCTAGTCTCCAAATAAATACAGTGGTCTGTCCACTATAGAGCACTGACATGTTTATTTTTCCACCATAAAATGTCTCTCTTGCTTGCATATCCTGGTCACAGTTGTTTAATGGCCAAACTTAAAAGATACCCAATAAATGACCATTTCTTTATTTAGATTTTTTTTTTCTGTCTCTTTCAGACTTTTACCGGTCCCTTTGTTTACTGTCTCTTGCCAGTTCTCAGCAGTTCTACCCTTAAGTCAGTCCTGGCTTCTATTGGCTACCTGCCCTATACTGACACCCCACAAAGGTAGGGAACGAGGAGGAGGAGAAGAAAGAGAACAAGAGTGACAGACGCTGTAGGCATCAAGCCACACAGCCTGTTCATACAGCTGATAGTCTCCATGCCACAAGTACACATATATCATACACACATCCTCTTGAAAGAGAGTTATAGGAATTCAAGTGAGTGAGATTTAAAACGTCATGGCAAATACTTTAAATAAAATGAAGAGATAAGTCTCAGTTTTCTGTCAAGCTTGCTTGTGAGCAATTAAAGATCAAATCTTCATCTCATTTTGAAATATGTGCAAAATAGTGAGTTTTAAAATGTCAACAATGAGGGTTGGGGTGGGAGGATGTTTGGGTTTGCTCTAACAGAATCATGGAATACATACACTTGAAGCAAATGGGGGGAAGTGTCTGATGTGCTGGATTTAGTCTGTTCTTCTCATCCCTTTTTGCCTTGCTGCCCTTGGTGGTCCTCTTCACCAGCGAGTTCAGACTCAGAGATGATCCCAACCCAGACAGAGCCATGAAACTGGGCTTTGAGCTGCTGCTGGCCAGGGTGCAATGTTCCCACTTCCTGGAGCTCCTGGAGAAGGATCAGCTGGGACCAGTGGTAAGATCAGGAAGCATCCATCAATCCATCCATTATCTATACTGCTTATTCCTGAATAGGGTCGCTGGAGCCAGTTGACATTGGGTGAGAGGCGGGGTCCACCCTGGACAGGTCGCCAGTCTATTACAAGGTTGACATGTAGACAACCAACCACACACATCCACACTCACTCCTACAGGCAGTTTAGAGTCACCAGTCAACCTAAGCTGCATGTCTTTGGACTGTGGGAGGAAGCTGGAGTACCCAGAGAGAATCCACACAGGGAGAACATGCCAACCCTGCACAGAAAGACACCGGGTCGACCTGGGCTCGAACCCAGAAGGCGACAGCGCTAACCACCACGCCAGTATCCAACCATGTTTAGACAATATGATAATGATACTTGCCATTTTATTGTCTGACCAAACAGCAGCTACTTGTACTACAGTAAGTTACATAGTGTTTTAATTTATTTCAAGTCACTGTGGTAATTTCTGTGCCATTAAAGCATCTATCAGATGATTCTGATACATACAGAGAGACAGGAGAGACAAAAAGAAAGAAATTGACATGCATAAGGAGATGAAACCAAAATCATTCAATGAAGGAATATAGTTCTAGTCAATGCAGCCATCAGCATGCTACACACATTAGGGTCTAACTGCCTTGTACCTGAGACTTGTATACAAATGAATGGCCGTCACAGGGCATTTTCAGAGGTCACAGTAACTGACAGCTGTGATCTTCCACTGCAGGAGTGGCTGGAGGTTCTCCAGAGAGAGGGGTCTACAAAACTGGAGGAACCTACAGACAAGACGACAACAATAGGGCAAAAGGAAGAGGAAAAGAAGGAGGAGGAGGCAGATAGAAAAGAGGTAGGGCAGAGTGCAAGAGGGCTGGTTGACTGTGTGGAGAAGGGGAAAAGGAACAAAAGAAGCTGACAGCAAAGCAGCAACACCAGAGAGAAATAAAAATCATCAAGTGCGGCTTCAGCACCAGCAATAAAACCTTTTATGAGAATTATAAGGGAGCAGCTGTTTTCAACTGTGCTGCTCATCATATAAACATAGCAGCACACAATGAGATGGTTCCCAAACTGTTCCATTTAGAAACAAAATAGCTCCTAATTTACATAGACTACATAGTGGGAAGTCTGAGCTAGGCTGCTGTAAATATGGCACTGAGACAAACATACTGAGGGACTGGTATATTCAAATAGAGGACACATTTAATAGAAGGGTAGAAAAATCGTCTTTTACTGTGCAATTTAATGATAGTATCTTTAATCAAAAACTAAGCAATATTAAAAACTATGATCCAAAACTGACATCCCTACCCCTGATAACATCAAAGACTAAAGGGCTGCAAATTCAGGTGGCATTATCAGAATGCAGGCAATCTGGCGTCAAAGAACAGTCAGTCAAATACACATAATATGACAAAAAGTTTATATTCTGACTACAGGCACTGCAGACATGTATCAATCACATTTCATTTAATTACTAATTGGTCCAGAATCATCTTGAGGCTTTGTGGCAGGCACAGATAACCATGTTAAAGAAACTGGACACATTTATCTGATGCTCCTTTGACCGTGCTGCTTGGCCTAGGTCATCCGCGTGGAGCCACAGTGTCTCGCTGCTTCTTTAACCCTGGAACACAGCCTGGTGGTGGGCTAGTGTGGCACCCCTTGCAGCTGTCTGTGTTTCTTCTCTTCCTGCTTCTGAGCAATAGTCAGAATTTTTTCTTCTGCTTTAAAGGAATTCCTTGTTTTTGGATTCCAAATTCTTATCTTCCTCAAAACATATTGGCCAGATTTTCCCTGCAACATCTCTGCATCCAGTCTCCACAGATACTTTGCTCTTAGAAGTGCAAACACCTCTCCTTTTGGTGTTCATAAAATCACCCGACACCACTGTTGTACTGTAGACCCTTCCAACCAAACCACAGTCTGTTTGCAGAGTGGTTATTGTGATCTCTGGTGGAACTGGTGCTGCTGGTTTAGGCCCCTGCTCAGTTTGGTCCTGGTCATGCTTGCTCTTCTGCTCTCTGACTGAGGACTACAGGTTTTTTGTTTGCTTGTTTTGCCTGATCACTCCCAAGGCACTGATGGTGTGGTTGACTGCTTCTTCAGGCTACTGGTTATCTCTTGTTTGGACTTGGGCACTGACCTTCTTCACATGCTCATCATTGACTCCCTGAGTTCTAAGAACATTCTGCTTTCTCCTGCTAACATTCCAAGATAATTAATCTCAATAATAATTGCCCAATCACTTTCAGATCTAGTGTTTGAGTCTGTCCTCAAAACTGTAGATAAGATGCTCTTGATTTTTTTCAAGGCCCTCCAAAACCACAGGTGCCACGTGTAAGCTAACAGGTTGTGTCTGGTTTCTTTGGGAATATCATAAGACTTTTACACTTCATGATCTAATGATTTCTGAATCAGCCTGGAGGGACCAAATCAACTTGCCGAAAAAACACCAATAAAACATAAATGGCACCATGCAGATAATACTGTAGACCACTCTCTTAACCTTAAGTAGCACATTTCATATTAATATCTTGATTTGAGTCATGTATCAAAGAAACTGTAACAGCTTGGTAGGCTATCATATAAAAACTGAAGTTCTGTAATTTGCTTTGGTCCAGCTATTGCTTTAATCAGTGAGGCATTGTAAGCACAGTGTCTGGGGAACCGCACCAGCAGCAGTGACCATGGGCAGCAGCTGGGTGACTGTACTACCTGTATTTCTGCCACTGGTACAAAATGAGCAGTTGTATAAAAGGTGTGTGAGGGAGACAAAGTTCTGGCTCATGATTAGAATTTGCTAAAATGAAAAAGACTTCATGTTTCTTTCAAATGTATGCAGTGGTATCTGCAGAAAATATTTAATTCTTTCTGTGCAAGTTAATAGAACGGTAAAGACACTGTATTAAAGTGTAAATTAAATTAATTATTAACTCAAATTTGAATGCAACATCAACAAAATCAAGTGTGTGGGTTCCTTAAACATAAATATTACAAACCCCATTTCCAGAAAAATTGGAAAATATTCCAAAACGCACTAAAAACTAAAATCAGTGATCAAATGTCAAGATGCTAGGTGGCCAAACATTTTACAGGTAATAATTCTAGGTGTATTTGCTGAACAAAATAATGAATTATGAATCATTTCAATGATTTGTATAATTTAATAGCAACCAACACAGCATTTGATTTTGGTAGTTGTATCTCAAAATTATATACAAAAATAATTTTCTTTCTTGAGAATGCTCTCTTCAAAATTCAACTCAAATGTGTTACATCTTAAATGTATGTGAGATTTTGGATTGCAAAGAATTAGAATGAGTGGGCCTTGTCAGCTGTAGGGTGGCCTGTGATATTAGGATGTCCACCTCTTGCGAGTGTCATTGAATTATATGACAAGATCAATCATCCACACACACAACTGAGCAGACATAACAAGCCATAGCACCAGAAACACGGCCATCCTTAATAAACTGGCTGCAATCACAGCTGAATTCAGCTCTGTTGTCTTTCCCCAGGTACCTCTGTATTTGGACAGCAGGCTTGCAATGACCTCCCAGCCCAAGCCCCGACACTTAAACCTCCTCTGCGTAGATCATTCCATTATGGAGATGCAGAGAATCTACCCTGATCTAGCCTTCAGGGGTCGCCCTCTGGTATCAGACAAACCTCACCAAGCCAACAGCAGCAGGAGCAGCAGTAAAGATGCTCATACTGCCATGGGTAATTATGGTGATGACGGTAAAGTTGCTGAGCTCTGCAAAGCAGATTGCATTAAAGGCACCAAAGCTGCTGCTACAGCTGTCGGTAGTAGAAGTGATAGCAGCAAAGCTGGTGACGTGTTTTGTGACGATGGCAGAAGTAGAGGTTGTAACGACGGGAGCGGTGGTTGGAGCACACCCCCAGGAAACACTGCTAGCAGTAGCTTCAGTCACACTGATGGAAGCAGAGTTGATGAGGAGCTCAGTGGTCCTCAGGCCATTTCCCTGCACATCACACTGCGAGCTGGATCTAAAGCAGAGCCAAGCCTGAAGCCTGGAGAGTGTCAGGCCACAGCAGAGCCTCCTGCCTGGACGCAGGAGCAGGCCACAGCAGGTAACACGCACACATGTTTTGTTATGTAAAGCTGATTACTATGTATATAAATTTGCCATCTGCTATATCAGTCCATTTCCAGATCTCTTTACATAATAGTTCTAATGATCCATATTATTGGTAATAATGAGGAGTCATTTCCATTAGAGGTGGGCTAAACTCCTTTATCATCTTTATCACAGTATATGTAATTTAATTAAAATTAAAATCAAATAGTCTGACAGAAATGTTTGTTTTTGGCCACTAGCAAATGAAACACCTGTCAGATCAACCCAGAGATATTCAAAGGACGGCTACCACAGTATCAGCTGTATGGCTGACAGGTGCATCCTGTCTAATGTTATACAGTATGTCACCATATTGCCCATCTCTAATTTGCATTCTGCTGTTAGATTACTGAGTCTCTGTCTACACTTCTAGCGGTAAAGTCTCCCTGTGATTCATGTTTTGTCTTGGGAAACCAAAGTTTTGTTAATTAAAGAATAGGTCCAGGATTTTTCAAGTTGGTCTTAAAATAATATACTTATATAAGTTACAGTGACTAAGACCTATACTCACATACATTTGGGCACATCAGCATTGTATTCACACCATCGGGGTGTGTGTGTGCATGAGTGGGTGACTCTGTAAAGCATTTTGTCCAGGTAAGGTAGGAAAGCGCTACATTAGTGTAGTCCGTTTACCATTTTTAAGACCAACTTGAAAAATCCTGGACCTACTCTTTAATGTAGCCAAAATGAGTTGCACCCTGTAGAGTAAAGGTGAAACTCTGATGTTCATAGAGAGGAAGAGGCTGGCCAAATCAGAGCTTCCCTCTCTAGGCTCTGTGGATGAGGATCAGAACCTGAGAGAGCTGGCAGAGAGGATGGGCCAGCTCCATGTGCAGGACACCAGAGAGGAGGTGAAGAGAAAGGAAGAACACAAGAAAGGACAGGAGAAGACGAATAATGAGAGGGGGAAGAAAGAGCTTAGAAAGACGAGCACTGAGGGAGGAGTGGAGGAGCAGAATCTCAGGAAGCCGGTGATGGAGACCGGTCCGGCACTGAGCCACGGTGCCAGTAGATGCTCCAGATCCTCTCAGCATGAGCCTGCAGTGATTAGAGAGCAGAAGGGGCATCACACTTCACCCCTGACTGTCAATGCAGCAGACTGTGAGAGCTGTAAAGGTGGAGGCAGCACAGGACAGCAGGAAGGAGAAGACAATGGAAAAGCAGGAACAGGCCGAGGAGAGGAGCTGCTGGCACAGAGCTTTGTTATTGTTGAGCGTCACAAGAAATAACTCAAGGTTGGCCTCAAGGTTCATTTCCATGTATGGACGTACATTAGTATCAGAGCTTGAGCTTAGATATTGTCTGATTTCGGTCGTCACTGTATCACATTTACTCTTTCAGGAGTGATACTGCACCCAGATTGTAAAACAGCAGCTGTGGCCTCAAGCAGACCTTAAAGGGAATAAACTTTCTCTGGCACATTGTGTGAAAACTTTGGAGGTTTGTCAGTTATATCCTTCTTCTTTTGAACATAACATAAGAAGTTGTGATATTGGGAAAGCCCAGGGTTTGTTTAATCCCATGTATCATGAAGATTCTGTTAAAACTGCAAATTACTGCCAATTGTTGTGCCTATATTCATGTGGATGGCAAAGTAAGAATTTCATTGTACAGGGAAACACGTTTCCTAACTGTGCATATGACAAATAAACACTTTGACCTCTGACCTATATGATACTTTTTTTTTACCAATACCAAAGTGGTGAACTTTTGGTCTGTTAGTTTGCTAAACATAAAAGCAGTGGTTGTGTTTAACGAATCTGAACTTTTCAAATGCACCAGTGTTTCAGGCTGTCGTAATAAAATCCAATGTGCACTTCACCCCCTCACTGGTACTTCCGAACACAGTACCATCTGGTACACAGATGACTTAAGGACAAACGAATGATGTTATTGCCACTGTCAGCACCATATAACTGTACCAGTATAATCACTTCTGAATGTATTTGCATGTAAACTTGACAGATGCATTCTCTGATTTGCATGTCATTATACTGCAGTGGAAGATGAGCAGTGGTTTACAGGTACTTTGTCAAACCGACCTGATGTAGGCACAAGGCTAATGAAACTCGGTACCAGAGAAAAGAGTAAGGCCTGCACAGTCTCCAAACCACTTGTTTATATAAATGGAGATTTTAAATCTCGGTTGAGTTGTCATAAAAAATCAGTGTTTGATCAAACTGATCTTCTTTAACATTAGTGGAAATCCATACACTATTACTATACAGTAGTCCTTCTCTAAGTACTACTATACAGTAGTAGTACTTAGAGAAGGACCAACTATAAATTACTGTCTACAGTGCCTTGCGAAAGTATTCGGCCCCCTTGAACTTTGCGACCTTTTGCCACATTTCAGGCTTCAAACATAAAGATATAAAACTGTAATTTTTTGTGAAGAATCAACAACAAGTGGGACACAATCATGAAGTGGAACGAAATTTATTGGATATTTCAAACGTTTTTAACAAATAAAAAA